TAAAAGAAAGTGAAGAAAAGGAGGTGCTTCTGAAAACGAATCTCTCGGGTCGGCAGAGCCCAAGTTTCAAGCTTTCCCTCTCTAGTGGGACAAAGTCTAATCTCAGCAGCCAGTCATCTGCAACAGCCCTGCCTGGATCTCCGGGCTCCCCTGGCTCTCCGGGCTCCCCTGGCTCTCCTGGATCTGTCCCCAAAAATACATCTCAGACGGCAGCTATCACCACCAAGGTACACCTCCACCCCCTCGCCTGCCTCCCCCGCCTGCCTCCCAGCATGCTCACCAGTGATAGTGCCGCTGAGCCTGTGGTTGCTGGTCCTGTGGAGCTGATATGTGACTTAAAGAATAATTCACACCTACACACAAACTTTAACCAACAGTTGAAAGATTTCTAAACATTTTTATAACTAGGCTTTTGCATTTATTTTTATGACTAGGCTTTTCATTTATTTTTTAATAATTTTTTCTTTTGTTTTAAACTCAACAATGTGAATAATTCAATATGAGTATTTTCTTGATACTTTTGTTAGATTTGCATATGTCAAAACATGAACATTTTTCGGTTTCCATTACTTTTTCTACTTTGGTACTCAGATGTAGAAAAGACATGATGGATGGGAGGGGAGAGACAATTCCTTTGGCTGCTTTATGCTGCCTGTTTTATTTCTAAGTCACACTCATTAATTACTGTTACTCACACGTTGGATTCACTCTGTCTCAGGAGTGTGGTGTCCGGTCTACCCAGAGCTGCCGAGGTAGACAGACTGTCGAAAGAACACAGGCCTGGAGATCCGGTGGCAGTTGTGCCCTACCTATACACTTGAAGTTCTCGGGAGTTAGAACTAACTCACCGTGATTAACAATAGGAATAGAATTCCCGTTCCACTGTCTCTTATTTTCTAATGTGAGCCGGAGCCCTCTGAGAATTCAAGATGGAAATCTGCAAAGCACACACGTGAAAGGGCCAGGCACAGCCATCAAATGTGAATTTTCCGTTGCCATCTATAGTGAGCTGCAGGTGCAGGTCTATTGGGAAACAGTTTAGTGCATTTCTATATCTGGTCATTTGCTATGATGATAGTTTTTGTTGTTGGTTTTTTTTTTTTTAAGTACTGTGTATATACTCGTGTATACGCTGTTTTTTTGTTTGTTTGTTTTTGGCTTTTTCTTTTTTGTTGTCATTGGCTTTTGTTGTTCTGATTGTTTTTCTTTTCTTTTTCTTTTTTCCTTTTTTAACATTTTATTAGGGGCTCATAGAACTGTTATCCCAATCCATACACACATCGATTGTGTAAAGCGCATTTGTACATCGTTTCTCATATATGCTGTTTTTTCAGCACACTTTTGGGTGCTGTTTTTGTGGTAAAATTAAGGTGCCTTCGGCTGATATCCGGGTCGGCTTATACACGAGAATATATGGTAATTTGAACGATTTCCTTTATAAAAAGTTACACAAAGGACCTTCAAAGAGTTTGTGGGGAAACGGAATTGGAAGAAAATAGAACTTTGTCCCTAGCTATTAAAAGCTCTCATATATGCTTATAGGAAATATGTAGAAATAACTTTTAAGTTGGCAAACAACCGCCTCCGCCCCCCCCCCCCCCACACACACACACAAAAGAGCAGTGATTGTGTTTTTAGTGAAAGTTTACTGAGTAAATTAGATTACCATTTGACGGTTTTTACACACATTTATTCAGTGAGCTTGCTTACATCTTTTGCGGTGTGAACATTCTCATTATTAATATTCTGGTTGTTCCACTTCCAGTAATCCTGATTCCCTGCCCCAGTGTCTTCTCTTCTTTGCATTAGAGTAATTGTTGACTATTTGCTCTCCTATGGGTAAGTTTAAAAAGTGTAGTGCTCACGGGTGATCATCTTTATTTTGTGAGCCTCAGTTATGCATTGGGCTGAGATTTGTAAGATCAGCATTTCAAAACCACTAGCTACTCTGGAGAAAGACAGCTATTTACTCCTTTATAGAGTTACTATCTCGGAAGCTCACAGGGGCAGTTCTCCCTGTCATTTTGGGTTACTAAGAGTTGGCAACCACGAGGTGGCAATGAGAGAGTTGAGAGAGAACTATATTTAGCTATAGATGACCTCAGGATAGTTTTCAGTTCAAAGTTTAAAGGGCATCTTGGAGTTAGTCTTGAGTCTTCTAGTTTCAACCCTATTAGTTTTGGCCCTTACAAGAGTTGTGTTTTGTACTTTTCTCCCATTCTTTTAGGAACTGTCTATTGTTAACCTTGATTAGAATGGTTGGTAGTGGTAGCCAGGCACCATCTACTTCTGGTTTCAGGGAAGAGGTGTATGTTGTTCTTGTAGACTAGTGTTTCCCAAAGTGGGTAATACATCATTCAGAGGTGTTGGACAGTGCCAGGGAGGGTGCAGAAAACGGGTCCTAGATTATGGGCTACAGTACAAACGTTTCTCCCAAGGGATGCTGAGTGCTTTTATTTTTCTTTTGTGATAAAGGGACAGTAAGCTTGGGAGCTTATGATGACACTTTGATTATGATGATCCCTGAGTCTTTTGTTCATGCTAACTAGAGACTAATATTTGTAGCTTACATAGTTGCTCTTAAGCTTTTAAGACCCCAGACACTGCTCAGCAAACTTGGATTCATAAACTTTATGAATGGTATTGTGACAATTGACCAAACACTCCCAGCCCAGCAAGGTATGGGATTATGTCAAAGAAGTATTTATAACTATGTCCCTATGCTTGTTATTCTATATGTACATGCACATACATGCATATTCATATACAAGAGGCTTTCAAAATCTTTGTGGAAAATACCATTTTGTTTTAATTATATTTCCCACAAACTTTTTTGAAGCCCCCCCACCTTAGATACATCTGTCTGATCTGTATATATAGCCATGTGTTGTGGTTTTGTTTTGTTTTTGGCGGTGGTGGGGGGGGTTGCTCTTAAGACTGCATTAATATACTTGGAGATGTAAAGTCTTAATTGAATGTGTTTTAAATGTGATTTGGTTTGGTTTCAGTAATATTTATTTCTGAACAGGGAGGCCTCGTGGGTCTGGTAGATTATCCTGATGATGATGAAGATGATGATGAGGATGAAGACAAGGAAGACACGCTACCACTGTCAAAGAAAGCAAAGTTTGAGTCATAATAATGGCTGTGTTCAAGTACCTGTTGAAAAAACTGGTTCTTCACCCCTTCTCCCTACAAAACCCACAACAAAGCAGTGGTTTTTTGTGAATGACTGTCACAGATCAGCCGTGTACACTTGACTTCTGCTCATCAAGTGCCAATTCATTGGAGCAGGAGGAGGGGGATAGTCTACACGAGGGGAAGATTTAAGCCTCTGAGCTCTCCAGCTTGGACCACACATTGCCCTTTTCTCAGGGAAGGAAATGGAAACAAAAAGCCAACAGGGCAGGGGTTTTGTAAGTGGAACTCTGGATTGACTGGTCAGTTGCTGCAATCAGAACATGCTTTCTTGGACCATGTTTGAGACTCAGAAGAATGGCTTTTCTGCCACGATTCTTCAAGAGTTAAAGAATGCCAGCAGTTTCTTTATATAAAGAGACCTGCCTTTAAAACCATACATTCTGAACATTTTAGTCACGCTACAACTGGTTTGGAAAACCTCTGTGGGGGAGGGGCGAGCATAAAGTTTCCTCTTTTTTATCTGTTCCCTTGGCCCTTCAAACTGCAGATTTTTTTTTTTTAAGTGGGGATTTGTCCCGACTTGATTAAAGATTGAATGGAATTCTAGATGTGGTCATTTGTGTCATATTTTGGTTTTTGTTTCATCGTGTTGGGGATTTTTTCCCTCCCTGAGTGTATGCATAGTTGTCAAGTATATATATTTGGGACCATTAAAACTTTTTTGATGTAATATAACAGCGTTATGCTGGTACCTGTTTCACGATGTGTAATTTTTGTTCTACATCACAGTACGTAATTTGTTTAGAGTTTATGAAAGATGGTATAGTTTTTATTGACAAAAGAAATCTTACAACTATGTGCATACAAAAGCAATACTATTTTGTGACTAAATATTTTATATTAAAATTTACATCAGCAGCTGTCTTGAGAATTCAGGGAAATAGAGTGGAATTTAAACCTTCAGCAGTTCTGTTAAACCTAGAAACATGAAATTAGTATTCCAAAGAGATTCTGAAATTTCATACCTTGGAAAAATGATGGTACATTAATCAAATTGAGGCTGGATGATTTAAAAATTACATTTGACTTTTGAAAAATAAAAAGAACTGGAGAGTAAGAGAAATTGTATTAGTTGTATGTTTTGTTTTAGAACATCTCCCTTTGGAATACCAGTTTAACTGAGTGGTGGGCGTCTGAAGGAATCCCTGGCCAGTGTCCACAGACGTTATTTTAGTAAAATAGAGGTATAAATAGGCTCTTTTTGTTGTGATCAGTTCTTTTATGGAAATGAAAACAAAGATCTGAATTCCACTCCCCGCCCCTTTTTCCCCCCAGGAAAGCTCCTAGGACTTGAAGAATGTGTTTGTAAATGTGAATAATTCATATCCAGGAAGGGATATTCTTTAAGTATTATATACTTTATTTGATTACCTAGCAAGCACTATGTGCTTCTATCTTGGCTTTCTCGTTTGCTTGAGTCAGTAAATTATAATTTATGGTCCTAGATACAAAGCTATATTGAAGAGTTGGTTAAAAACCCAAAAAGTGACAACCTTGCTAAAGTCTTGACAATTTTTAAAAATAACTTTGGATGCTTAATTAACTATAAGTGATTAAGTGTATTTCACTAAAGTGTAGAGCTACTGTGAGTCATAATTTTTGGCTATTAGGAATAGAAGTTAATCACTTTATCTTGAAATAAAGAAGAAAACTTACTAGGATCTAAGTTAATTATATTACTGTCTGCCTTCCTTTGTTACCTAGAAAATAACATGCAAATTAATGATTGTGTCTTCAAACATAACTTCTCTGAGTCATGAAACACTTGTCTTGATATTCCTAGGGTTACTGGGTAGAGAGAAGATGTCTTTGTAAATTATGGTCTAATATGTCAAAGGTGGCTGGGTAGCACAAGGGGTGAAGTGTTGTACTACTGATAGACATGTTGGTTGTTTGGACCCACCCAGAAGCACCTCTGAAAACAGACCTGCAGATCTATTTCCTACCAGCCTTGAAAACCCTAAGTACATCCGAGGTCACTGTGGATTAGAATCCATTCAACAACTAACAGTCGTCAAATAGATAATAACTTTTTGCCTAGCACATATAAGAGATGCCATTTCATTGAATTGTTACATTCATTTAGGTACTAGTAATTATTGTCAAGTTCACTCCAAACCAAACTCTGTGCCATCAAATCAACTCAGTGATCCATAGGACAAGGTAGAATTTGCTCCTGTGGGTTCCTGAAATTAACTTTTTTTTTTCTTCTAGTTGGGAGCTCTTACAGCTATTATAACAATCCATAATTCAATTAGAGCAAGCATATTTAAACAATTGCTACCACCATCAGTTTCAAAACATTTTCTCATTGAACTCATTGGTATCAGTTCCCCTTTATCCAAAATTAACTCATTACAGCAGCAGAAAGCCTTTCTTCCGGGAGAAGCTGGTGGTTTTGAACTGCAAATGTTAGCAGCCCAACTTCTAAAGAATATAACACCAGGGCTCCTAAATTCACTGGCATGAAGTCAGTTCTGACTCCTATTACCCCTATGGGACATGATCGAACTACTCCTGTAGGTTCTCTAGACCAGTGGTTCTCAACATGTGGGTGGCAAAGCCCTTTGGGGGTCGAACAACCCTATCACAGGGGTCACCAGATTCCTAACAGGAGTAAAATTACAGTTACGAAGTAGCAACGAAAATGATTTGTTGGTTGGGGGGTCACCACAACCTGAGGAACTGTATGAAAGAGTCACAGCATTAGGAAGGTTGAGAACCACTGCTCTAATAGACTTAACTCGCTTTCTCCCTCGGAGTGGGTAGCAGCTTCCAGCTGCTAACTTTGAGGTTTGCAGCCCAACGTGTCATCCACACCACCAAGGACAAGTGACTTGATAAACGCAGAAAAAAACAAGTCAAGGGTTTCATTTTGCTTGGATCCACAGTCAATGCTTTTTTCAGTGTTGAATAGAAAGGACTAAGGTGTGCCTGTTCCAGGCCAAGGTATTTTCATTTGTCTCTTGTGTGTGTGAAAGTTGGACATTGAATAAGAAAGACCAATCAATGCACTTGACAAAGTGTTGGCAGAGAATCTTGAAAGTGCCATGGACTGCCAAAAGAGCCGACTCTGTCTTGGAAGAATGCTCCTTAGAGGCAAGGATGGTAAAACGTTGGACATGTCAGGAGAGCCCAGTCCCTAGAGAAGGATGCCATGTTGGAAAGAAGGTCCTTGGGTGAGATACAGTGGTCACAGAAAGGGACTCAAACATAAAACAATTGAGCGGACAGCACAAGACCCAGCAGTGTTGTGCATAGGGTCACTGAGTCAGACTGGCTTGATGGCACCTAAGAACACAGGTCAGTGGAGGAATGTGAGAAATCCGTTCTGTGATGTCAAAACTCGTTCACAGATGACATTTATGACGCCTCGCAAAATTATTTTCCATTTAAATGAAACTCTTGGTTATTTTAAGTCTTGTGCTTAGGTGAAAGTTTACATCGTTTCCCATTCTGTAGTTCATGAAACACAAACTGCTTCATAACATTCGTTACAATCCCTCGCCTGCTCTTTTGCATCCCTGCGTTCCCCTTTCCCTTCTCTGCCCCTGGCCTGCCTTCTCATTGTTTTTGCTAGTGTTGCCCTACTGGTCTCATAAAGTATGATTCTGCGTGGTTCATTCTTCACATCGTTTTATAGATTCCAGGCTGTCTTTCATCTCAACAGCCATGGGAGTTCCTCTAGAAGATTTCACACTGCCTATTCTTGGCTCATTTTTTACTTAAAAGTTTTTTATTTGGTTTTGGCGTGTTGTTTTTTTTTTTTTAACCCTTTCTAAGGTTTATTTAATGACTGGGCACCATCTAGTTCTTCTGGTCTCAGGCTAGAGGAGACTGGTTCATGTGGACAGTTAGTCTGAGTGTTCCTTTGTACTACTATGCCCCAGGCAAGAAGAGACCAATGCTTGCTTGCTTCTTAAATGACAACTCTCAAACTTTTAAGGTCCCAAACCCAGACTTAGTAGACTAAAGTGTAGAAGATGAGAACTATTTTGCATATTGACCTACATGAAATGAAAGATGCAACTTTCACTCCTAGAATGTTTTCACAATTATTGCTGGGAAAGACCATTACTGTCGTAAACAGAAATGCTACCTTGAGTTTTGAAAGTATGTGGCCTAATGGCTTTTCACTGCCCGGTATTGGGTGAAATTTATTGGACATAAATTTGGAATTCTAATTTGCAAGTAAGCTTTTTGTGAATGGAAATGAAGAAAGGGGAAAGATTCCTATCATTGTCTTGACTGATTTAAGCAGTGGACTTTTTAAAGGGTGCAAGTTTGGTACTGTCAAATTAAATTGGGAGATTTCTTTAAATGGCAAACTTTGGAGCTGGTCAGATTTCTAGTACTTACACAGATAATGTAAGCAGCATTGGTAAAATTTGCCCCTCTTGGAGGGAAATTTTAAAACTTAAGAATTCATTTTTTCAATCATATGGAGAATTGTGTAATCACTCCCACATCAATTTTAGAGTATCCCCTCCCCCTCCATAGTTAAGTTACCATTAAATGATTTATGGCAATCAGAATCAGTTCTAGTGTTCCCTTCCCCCTCACATATCCCCAAATCCCTTTTCCCTTCCTGTCTCCCCCACCCACCCACCTCCGCCACACACACTACCATGACCCCAGTTCTACCATACAAATCTGGCTAGACTAGAGTACATGCACTGGTATAGAATCCTGGACAGATAAACCCTTCAGGAACAATTAGCAGGAGTGGTGATACCATGAGGGTAGGGGGGAGAAAGGGGGAACCCATTGCAAAGGTCAGTGTAGAACCACCACCATACACCGAGCCTCACCCATGGGGACAAAACAAGACATGGGTGAAGGGAGATAGTAATTTACAATTTATCAAGGACTCATGAGGGTGGGAGGGAGGGAAAACATACCTAGGGCTCAAGTAGAAAAAAAATGTTTTGAAAAGGTGGGAACATGTACAAGTGTGCTTGATACAATTGATGTATGGGTTGTTGAAAGAGCCTCTGGTAAGATTTATTAAAAAAAAATTTTTTTTACTTTGGAAAAAAATAGTGATTACTTCATGTAAGATGGATTGTTTTATTATACCTTCATCAATTTTTTTAAAAACCTGCCCTAGTGTGGGTCACATTCAACGTTGCAATTCAATGGACCCTTTTCCATTCTTAAATTACTTGACCCTTAAGCAGTAATTGCTACCAACCACTCTTTGATATCTTATAATCACCTACAGCCTCGTGTAACGCTATGCACTTTAACATTTCTGATCCATCTTCTGATGGCTCTCCTATCCCGTAAAAGTTGGGATCCAAGTAGGTCCTGTGCAAGCTTGGAATGCCATGTTTTATCTTTTTTCTGAACTTGATCCACCATCTAGCACAATAGTAGATAGCTTCACAAGGGATGGTAATTCCAGAACTTAATGGTACTCATGCAGAGCCTGTAGATAGTAGACCAAGAGGCAGTGGAACAAAAAGGGTTACTACATCGCTTCAAATGAGGGAAGATAAATATCAAGGTTGTGTTCTTTCATCATACTTCCTCAGTCTGTGTGTTGAGCAGATGGTCTTAGAAGCTGAACTATATGAAGAACTCACCATCAGGATTAGAGGAGGGCTCATTAACAACTGAACAATCTGATGTGCAACTGGAATTCTTGCTAAAAGGTAGGTAGTCATG